AAAAATACTTGTTATGGCCCATAGTACCAGAATCGCGATGTGCCCATCGAGTAAAAATAATTGACCCACCCTAGTACTTATGTATTTGGATTTGATAAATATTGCTGTTCCTCCACCTCCATCGATTTGTCGATCGTTTCGAAAGATTTTGAAATTTGGGATTGGCAATTTTTTTGATGGCTTCAATTTTGTTTCCACGATAAGCAGCACATCAGGTTTTTGTTCTGATATTATTGCATTGAGTTCGTGTTGTTTGGCTTTGCTGATTAGAGAGTTGACATTTAATTCGATACATTTCAGCGGTTTGTTATTGTTCATCTTTTCGGCTTATTTACAATCAGCTGAGGTGCGATTTTCAATAGAAACTCGTTCATTTGCGCCTGTTGTGCAGCGAGCTGTTTGAAAATGTTGATCAAGTTGGTGTCAGCTGATGGGCTGATTTGTTTCGACCGTGGCTGTTGGTTGGTGTTGTTGTTACCAAGTGTTTGGGCATAACTTACGTTCGGGTAACTTACGGTTCGATTGCAAATTTTTCGATTTAAAATTCTCTTGTTCATTCTTTTTTGATCGTTATCATGGACTACATTGGGTGGAATATTTTTATCTTTCTTCGATGCATTTGCTGTTGTTTGCTCAGCTGGACAATCAGTATATGTATTTGGTGTTTGGCAAAGCGCGACGATGATAAGCAACGTTGAGTCTTTGGATTTTCTTCAATTTCTGATTTTAAACTCTCAGGTAGTTTTGCTGTGGCAGAGCTTCTCATCGAACACAACGCTACTGTTGATGCCAAAGGTGATTTTGACATGACGCCACTCCATTACTCTGCGCAAAGTGGTAATAGTCCAAATAATTGAGTCAAACTTTAAATTCCTTTTAATTTATGATTGTTTGATTAATCTTTCAGGTAGTTTTGACGTGGCAGAGCTTCTCATCAAACACAACGCTACTGCTGATTTTAAAACTCATGGACAAATAACACCACTCCATTACGCTGCGAAAAGTGGTAATAATCTAATTGATTGAGTCTTTGAGTTCTCTTCAATTTCTGATTGTTTGTTCAAATTCTCAGGTAGTTTTGATGTGGCACAACTTCTGATCAAACACAACGCTAATGTTGATGCGAAAGATGAACAACAAATGACGCCACTACATTACGCTGCGGAAAGTGGTAATAATCCAAATAATTATGTATTTAAATTCTCTTCATTTTATGATTGTTTGTTCAACTTCTCAGGTAGTTCTGATGTTGTAAAACTTCTCATCGATCACAGCGCTAATGTTGATGCGAAAGCTAATGAACAAATGACGCCACTCCATTACGCTGCGCAAAGTGTTAGGCAAAGTGGTAATAATCCAAATAATTGAGCCTTTAAATTCCGAGCACGGATCTATCAGATCACATGTGTTTGTTGTTGGGATGTACTCTATACAATACATGAACTCAATATTCGTGTCCCGTATGCAATACACTTTGTTTATCGGAGAGACTGCTTTCCATTGATAAATATAGTAGTACAATGGCGCTCCAGTAGGGTGCACTAAGTGTAGAAAATTGTTGTTATAATAATGTTGAAATAATGGCATTCTACGTGCTCGTTAAATTCTCTTCAATTTTTGATTGTTTTTTTAACCTCCCAGGTAGTTCTGATGTGGCAGAGCTTCTCATCAAACACAATGCTACTGTGGATGCGCAAACTGATTATGGAATGACACCGCTCCATTACGCTGCGAAAAATAGTAATAGCCCAAAGAATCTGCCAAAAAACTTAAATTACCAATGGATTTGTAAAATTATATCAGTGTGTCAAAAAAATCACAAGTTGCCGTGCGGCAGTAGAAAGAACTGTGTGTATGCGTCAAAATTTTTGCCGTCCGCACTCACTTCGATTGTGAGTTACGGTGTCTTGCGGAAATATCTTCCATATATAGTGCACCGATATAGTATAGATATCGACACTATTTAGTGCTATTTCTATATGTTATGGACACACTGAATTATATTGGTAAAAAAAATCGTTAAAACTCTCGATTTGCATCGTTAAAATTTAAGAATATGATCCAAAATTGCATAGAAATTTTCATGTTTTGTGAATGTCGAGCGCTCAAACATCTATTGTGAATCAAAACCATGCCTTTTTTATTTGTTAAATAAATCTGCTACGCTACACCTGCTGACAGTTGTCAGTGTTCATAAAACAAAGAAATGTGTTTGTAATTTTGAATTATATTTTTAAATTGTTACATAACGACAGTTCTTATGAAAGAAACATGTATTAAATTACCAATATAAATGTACGAATTTGATTTTTTACTAACATAGCTCCACCAAAATATAGATGTTGTTTTTTGTGTGCAGTCAGACTATAGTGAGAATTTCTATTAAAATGTTTTTTTTTTTTTTTTTTGAAAATATTCCAGGCAATGCGATAATTTACAAAATCCTATATCTGCATGGGGCCAATATAAATGCATCCGATAACTTTGAGCATAAAGATGATACGCCATATAATATTAATCCTTCTTTAGGTAAGATAAATTTATGAGCGAATTACTTATTTAAGCGAGATACCCCTAAAATGTTGAGTTCATCAATAAATTATCTATCTATTATATAATGTTAATGTCAAAATTGTTGATTTTTTAGGAGAAACAATTATTGCTTCAATCAAATCTGATGAGCGAATTCAATCTGCTAAGAAGTTCATTCCAACGGGTAATTCATTTTCTGTCCTTTTCCTTGAATTTATTTAGTATCAGGAGGAATTAATAGGTTACAAAAAGTGTTTTGAGTTATTAGGGCATGTTTCATAGACTTGTGGACCCAGTTAGTGGCCATTTGTACAATGTACATAAAACAATGGAAATAATTGTGTTTTAATTATAAATGATAAATTTAATTTAGATCATTATTGATCACATTAGTAAAAAAAATAAAACACAGCTCAACATTTTATTGAAATTATAAATGGTTTCTCGACCATATATCGGACTAGTTGTTTGAATGTTGAATCGCACTCGTGTCCTCACGCTTACAAACCTGGCAAGCTAACCACTGGTCTATGGCTGAGACTATCATGCAAAATACTACTTAAGTCATGTTTGAAATCCTTTGAAAAATGTTTAAATCAAAATTAATTTGCGCTCCCAATAGTTGAATACAAGGTATTGAGCCCCCGATTCTAAAATTCTAATTAAGTATATATTTCTAGGAATTGATTCTTCAGAAATTATTTCCAAAAAAACAGGAATAAAATCAATAGTGATAGAAACTATATCTTCAGAATTAAATGAGGTCTACCAATCTAAATATTTCTGATTTCACAGCCATTGTAGTGATTATAATAATAGTAGGACTCTTGGTCATTTATTCTCTACATGAACGAAAGAAACGCGTTCGGTTGGCAAACCTTCTTAAGGGAAATTCAGACCTCATCAGACTAGATCGTATACTAAACGATCAAGCTAACCATTTGCCATTCAAAAAAAAGTTTGAATTTCCCATGAAAAGACTCGAACTCGGTAAAGAGATTGGTAAAGGAAATTTTGGTGTAGTAAAAGATGGGTTTGCTCACCGTATTTTGAATCATGAAGAAAAAACGAAAGTTGCTGTTAAGACGCTCAAACATATGTCAACAGATAAAGTAAGTGTATTTTGGTAATCAAATTATTTATGTTGCTTATTTTTCATTATATTTAAATCAGTGGTTTTAAATCAGTGATGGTTTTTTCCTATCTGAATAGCGCTAGCTATTCGCAGCGTCTGTACAGCATTGCTGCCCAGATGCTGAAAACCATTTAAAATGGTAAAAACGGTCAAATATGAATATTGACTCGAATATTGAAAACTAAAACCGAAATAAACGATCATGAAAAACTAATCATTCCAACAGCAACCTCCCGAAAGTGTACTGTACGCAATTTTTTTTAACCATTTTGTTAGCACGATAATTCTTCTTAGAGAAAAGCAAATTCACATCTGAATTTGCAGGGTGATTGGGATTGAAAGGAGTAGGCTGGTATTGTTTTTGAGCGATATTCGTTCATCGGTGTATCCATGATGTACCCATAGGGGGTATGGTATGCGAAAATTTGTTAACTAGATAAATCTTTTCCCAGAGACGTAAATCAAAGTTTGAAATATGTAAAGGGGTTTTTTGGTACGAAAACCGAACTTGATGTTAGTTTTGAGAAACAATCAATATTTGAAAAATTCACCAAAAAGTGGGGCTTGTACAATACTTTGTATAGAAGGTACCTTCAATTTGTATTGAAATTTGCCTCAAACGTTAAGAATGTTTTTTTTACTTTTCCGCACACACCTAGTGTGTAAGGTAAAGTATTGGAATCGGTCGAAAAATTAACACCCTCAAAAAACATGTTTTCTGGGTGTTTTAGGAGCCAGGGAACACGAATCTAGCGTTTTTTCGATGTCCGAATGTATGTGCGTGGTACCCTGTACGCTGTACGCTGTACGCTGTACGCTGTACGCTGTACGCTGTACGCTGTACGCAAAAATTTGTTAACACGATAACTTTCAAACAAGAAAAGTAATTCAAAATCTGACTTCACAGGATGATTGGGGGTGCCGAGGAATAAAAACCGTTAGATTTTGAGCGACTTTGGTCGACAGAGTGAAGTGTCATGTCTGGTGTGATGCCCATGGCCATCCATGGAAAAAATTCAATTTTTCTTCCAAAAGTGATATTTAATGTATTCTTAAACACTCAAAAGTGTGTATTGGGGGGTTTTTGGGTACGAGAAAACCGAATATGACGTTAGTTTGCGATACAAATAACTTTCGACACACTTTTCAAACAAAAATGTCAAAAATTGTTGTTGAGTTTATGTATGGAAGCCATGCCTGTATGATATCGTAATAAGCTGAAACTTTGCACAGGTTATTTTTATCACACAAAAATGCCATACCGAGAGTTTGAAGACATTTTAACGCATATTAGGGGTACCTCCCGAACAAAATTTTGGATTTTTCGCTCAAAAACGAAATTTTGTATGGGAAGTACCCTTAATATGTATTGAAATTTCTTCAAACTTTCAGAATGTTAACTTTTTGTGAAAAAAATAAACTCTGCAAATTTTCACATGATTACGGTATCATATAGGCATGGCTGCGATACAAAAATTCACATTTTTAGTAGTTTTTGTATGAAAAGTGCTTCGAAAATTTTTTGTATCGTAAAACTAATGTCAGGTTCAGTTTTCTCGTGAATTATTTGAGTAAAAGATTTGTAATAAATGCATGTTGTGGATCACAGTGCGGAAAAGTTCATCTTACGGATGTAAGACATTTTATTTTTTAAAGAAAATAGCCTGTAGAAGTTTCATGTCATTGCGGTATCATACAGTTACATTTCTGGTGATTTTATCTTTCCGTATAACACACACTTTACATATTTTGAATTACTTATATGAAAGTGAATGGCACGTATATGAGAGACATGGCGACGTGCCAAACCGTAACGCCATCTATCGGATAGAATCTGAAATACAATTTCGTATTGACTATCTCATATTTGTGTAATTTTGTTCATAGAATTATAAGGTTTATTCCGACAAATTTGTAAGGTTTTTGTTCGCCAACATTTTACATAGCATGCCATACCCTTGCTTATACGTCAATACTCTATTAATTGACCAACAAATTTACTGTTTATTGAATTAGTACTGCACTACCAGTGCATAATCAATATCTCTTTGGGGAATGAAAATTCATTCGGCAAAGGAAGAAATTTGGAAACAGTGTGGAAAAGTTAGACTTACGGATGTAAATTTCATTTTAATATTAAAGAGTAAGGTCCAATATGTAAAAAAAATATAGAAATATTGGAAGAAACTACCCAAGCACTCAAATTGCACTGTTCGCCCAGGGCATTTGCACCGTGCGTCAGATACAAAAACACGAAAATACAGAATACGGAGCTAGAGACTAAGAAAGTAGTAGTATTTGCATATACGTGCCTTGCGTCTTATTCGTTTATTCCCCTTTTTAGCAGCCCTTGCCATGCCAACAGCTGGGGAAAAACGAATAAGACGCAAGGAATGAAGCGCATACGCACATACACTACTTTCTTCATGTCTCGCTCCGTATTCTGTTTCGTGTGTTCGTAACTGCATGACGCACGGTACGAATACCCTGGGTGAACAAGGCAAATTGAGTGCTTGGGTAGTATGCCGAGGCGAGCGGGGCTAGCCGAAGGCATGCTAGTATTGTCATATAATATTATACGTACGACAAAAATAACACCGTACGACAAAAAAAAACATGATCTTCTGTGACATGAACTTCGTGAATAGGGCGTTGTAGTAGATGGAAAAACTAGTAAAATTGCATCATTGGTTTGTTCCATATACGTCTGTTCAAAAAAGTTATTCAATTTGGTAATTCTTCAGTACAAATCTGAAAAGAGCGATTTTTAAACTGTATACTTCTTTCATTCAAAATTGGTGAACATGTGTATTTGGGGGTTTTTTGGTACGAGGAATCCATGTTTGACATTTATTTTGCGATATAATAACGTTTTGATACGATTTTCATACAAAAACTGGCAAAAATGGTCGTTTACTTGAAGTTACTCATATAAAAACAAATGTCGGTGTACACGTCCATTTAACGTTAAA